AGGAAATTCAAGACCACTGTTACCCTCCCCAGGAGTGGTCCACCAAAAAAGAACACTCTAAAAGCAAGACGTGTAAAAGTCCACTAGGTTTCAACGGACTGCAGGCTAACTTCGAAGCAACTAAAGTCCTTACTCACATTGGCTAATGTTTATGAGCCCATCATCAAGAGAACACTTAACAACCATGGTGTCCATGGCAGAGTTGCAAGGAGAAAGCCACTGCTCTCCAAAAAGAACATTGCTGCCCATCTGCAGTTTGCTAAAGATCATGTGGACAAGCCAGAAGAATACTGGAGAAATGTTTTGTGGATGGATAAGACCAAAATAGAACATTTTGGTTTAAATGAGCAGCATTATGTTTGGAGAAAGGAAACACTGCATTCCAGCATAAGAACCTTATCCCATCTGTGAACCATGGTGGTGGTAGTATCATGGTTTGGTCCTGTTTTGGTGCATCTGGTCCAGGATGGCTTGCTCTCATTGATGGAACAATGAATTCTGAATAATACCAACACATTCTGAAGGAAAATGTCAGTACATCTGTCCGAGAACTGAATCTCAAGAGAAAGTGGGTCATGCAGCAAGACCCCACAAGTCGTTCTACCAAAGAATGGTTATAGAAGAACAAAGTTAATGTTTTGGAATGATTGAGTCAAATTCCGGACCTTAATCCGATTGAAATTTTGTGGAAGGACCTGAAGCAGGCAGTTCATGGGAGGAAACCTACCAACGTCACAGAGTTGAAGTGGTTCTGTACTGAGGTATGGGCTAAGATTCCTACAAACCATTGTGCAGGACTGATCAGCAGTTACAAGAAATGTTACTTGCAGTTATTGCTGCAAAAGGGGGTCACACCAGATACTGAAAGCAAAGATTCACATACTTTTGCCACTCACAAATATTTAACACCAAATAATTTTTCTCAATAAATAAATGATAAAGTATATATTTTTTGTCTCTTTTGTTTGATTGGATTCTCTTTGTCTACTTTCAGGATTTGTGTGAAAATCTAATTATGTTTTGGGTCATATTTATGCAGAAATATAGAAAATTCTAAAGGGTTCACAAACTTTCAAGCAGCACTATATATATATATATTTATTAGGGATGCCAAAATTAACATGTTAACGCAAACTCATTTTAACTGCACTAATTTTATTTACGTGCGATTAACGCAACGCGCATTTTCTGTTTGACCCGTGACCTAACCCATAGTTGGAGAAATGGAGATGCACAATGTTGCCAACTTAGTGACTTTTCAGACCCTTTTAGCAACTCCCCCCCCAAAAAAGTGCCTAGCGACAAATCTAGCGGCTTCTTGGACAAACCTTATTTAGTTTCTGACACTCGCCGGCCGGTACTGCCGCTCGAGCACCAGGTCTTGCTTTCCCAGCGTGCGCACACACCTCTTTCTCTGCATCTGCTCTGTTCAGCGAGAGGCTGAGATGAGCAGCGCTTTCAGTTAAAACACATATTCTGTTGCGTCTCTAATTTTACATGCAAGTATAGCCGAAATCACAGCACAGCTATTGTCTTCATCTTATGTGTATTTGATTTCATCAGACGATGTCTTGATAATAAATCAGGATTTTTGTGCAGATTAACATCTTTGGAAGGGAGAGCTGGTTATGTAGTCTTAATGGGTCACGTTTCAGTCACTATTTCATATTAATTCCTTTGTCTGACAACAGAAAAAGTAAAATATATAAATGAAAACGGTTTTATTGAGAATTTAGCTGCATCAAAATACAATATGCCAAGATCCAAAGAAATTCAGAAATAAATGAGAAAGAAAGTAATTGAGATGGGGCAAACACTTTTTCACACAGGGCCATTTTGTTTTCCCTTAATAATAAAAACCTTCATTTAAAAACTGCATGTTGTGTTCACTTGTGTTATCTTTTACTAATATTTTAATTTGTTTGATGATCTGAAACATTAAAATGTGACAAACACGCAAAAAAATAAGAAATCAGGAAGGGGGCCAACACTTTTTCACACCACTGTGTGAAATATACACACACACACACACACACTATATTAAGGGTGGGCGGTATGTAGTGTAGTGTCTACAATTAGAGATTTTGCCATTTCTTATATATTAACACAGTACAGTACACACAAGTTATTAACACGTAAGAGTAAAACCTGAATGAAAAAAGAGTGAAACATGCTGTTTTAAGCAGTTATTAAAAGCTGTGAAAAATAACTAGATGTGATGCTCACCTTGACTGACACAGCTGAAGCTCACATACAGAAAGTGATGCACTGAGAGTCTCAGACAGCATGCGACCTCGAATTTGGGTTGTACATGATTAAATAGACTTGAATACAGTTACTAATTCACCTAAAGTGTGTACACAGTAAGCCGTCTCTCTCAGACAGCATGTGATCATAAATTCAGTATACTGTGGCGCTTGAATGGTCAGTTGCGTCAAAATGCCTGTCATGTGGAGTATTCACATAAACACAGTCAGTTATGCGTTTAATTAACGTAAACAGTAGGGTGAAAACCGGGTATATATTGGGTCCATGCATCCGGTTTTAAAGGCTTATAAACCTGTTGCTGTCTATGTCAAACAATAATAATTAAACAAGAAAGGACAGAGAAAATTACTCACTGCTCTTGACTGAATCAATTTTGGATCTTTAAAGAGAATTTTTTCTAAGAATCAATTTAATCAAACATATAGAAATATATCAGTATTTATCCTGATTGGACTTAGGACTATCCTTTTGGACTAGAAGCCCTATTGGACATCATTTAGTGAAGCTCTGTGACCACAAATAAACTGGAGCAAAAATGATTGAATATGTCCTGTTATTCTATTAAAAATATCAACTACTACTTAATACAACTACTGATTGATTTGGCTCATTTGACCGGTACTCCTGACAGAAATTACTGTAACTGTTTTTGTCATAAACTGTGGTCAGATATCAAAGCTGGACTCCCAGATCTAAATCTTGCTTGTTTGATGCATACAAAATAAACTTTTTCGGCAATTTAACATTTGGTATATCTCTAGTTTTTAATGCCACCGTAACTGGAATTTTGCATCTCTATATTCTGTTCTTTTCTACATTGTAGATAATCTACTTTTTAGTGTCTTATTTAACTTGTGATCAAGTGTATCTGTGTGTGTGTGTGTGTGACTAACAAAACAGATAAAATAGCCATAACATATTGTAAGTCATCACCTTTTAATCGAAGAGATGCCATTTGAGACAAGAGTACATGAAATTTTACAACAGTTACTCAGATCTTGAAGCTAAAAGGGCCTTCTGTGTTTTCCCATTACAGTGAGGAGCTCTGTAAAGAAATGGTGGATGGTTTGAGGATAACATTTGACTTTACCCTTCCACTAATCCTACTCTACCCAAGTGAACAAGCTCAGTTCAAAAAAGTCAGCTTCTCCAAGTTCTTCCAGCCAATCATTGACAGCGCAACCTGCACCAGTAGGTAAGAGAGTAAACAATGAGTAAACTGTACTAAAGACATCAATTTGTTTTGAAATGCCATATTAAACTTAGGAAATAATTTGTTAATTTTTAACTTTTTTTATGGTTTACAAATGTTGTCCTAATACTGTATCGGATCATTGATTTGACTTATTTATACTATGACTTGGGATTGCCATGATTTCAGATCTTCAGTAGCTGATGCAAATGCCTTGAGATGTCACTTTAATCATGCTTCATGGTATGCTACTAGCTAGTACTGTGATACCACTTTTTTTCCGCATGTATTTATATAGTGTTTCATACCGTATATCTGCATACACGCTGTACATTATACAGTTTGGTTCTGTTCAGTTTTTGGTTTTTATCCAAGAAGTACTGTCAGGTCAATAATCTTGTTGAAATATGAATTGTCCTTTAAGTTCCAACTGTGCAAGCAATCAAACCACAGGCAACAGTGACAAGGAATCTAAACTCCAAACCTAAAGGCGACTAAAGGAGAAAAAATGGGCCCCCTCTATCACTGCAAACACAGAGAAAAGTTTGCTACATTTTGATTGTATCTTGGTGGACTAACGTAAACAAGGTAAGGCTTAGGCCTGGGCGATAAAACGGTATCGATATTTAACGTATAGTCAGCTCGGTAACGATAGAAAAAATGTTCGATATAGTGCACGATATAGGCACGTGCTATGAGTGATGCAGACAGCACACACAAACACGAACATATGCTGAAATGAGTGCTGTGCCTGCCTGTGATGAGGAGATTGTGAATAAAGAATGAATATTAGTCGAATTCAAAATAAACATTTGCATTTTAATGTTAGTTGTGCATCAGGGAGCGTCATCAGTGGCGCACGAGATGCGGTGAGTGATGTAAGTGACGTTGTTGCATTTTAATGTTTTGTTAGTCTAGCCCACGAGACACGCCGCTGCTGCGTTATTCATTCAAAATATTAGAGAAATATAGAAGCTCAATGTGGAGATGATCTTGATTAGGTTAAAACCGAAACCAACACAGAACGCATATTCAGCGCATTTTTTAGACGGACAAATATGACTGCTGCACTCACGTCTCACAGAAGAGATGTACAGAAAGCCATGCAAAGTTAAAACAATTTAAACTTTTAGAAAACGTCACAAATTTGTGGAGGTTTATTCCTTTTCACTGCGTCTCATATGTTTTAAAATGCAATCTGTGTGAATGGCGGTTCGGTTCTTTGGATTAAGCAATGCATAAATACATGATGCTGTTTTGTTTATAATTGTTTATGCAATTTACGAAATTATATTTGATTTTTATGAGTTAATTTAGACTTAATGCACGTTTTTTTTATACAGTTACTTCCTTGCGTTGACAATTTAAATGCGCTGCATTATTTTGCTCTACTATGATGTGACCCTGTCTCTCACTCTCTCTCTCTCTCTCACACACACACACGCGTGCGCACACACACACACGATGTGCAAAACTCCGCATTTGAACAGTCAATAGCAAATACTTAAACTAATAACAGAACAGTAGCTGATTCAGAAGCGCCAGATTGTCATAGCGAAGTCAGAATTACCTCCTCTCCTAGGTTCACGAAACGGTCGTCCATAAAATGCATTGCTGTTCTGTTTTAAGTGATCTTAAAGATTCCTAAATGCATCTACTTTTGGAAGGCTTTCGCCTAGAAACACACAGCGTCTCCCTGACATGGCTGCTTCAACACTAACTGCAGTTACTGAAACCACGCCGCCTTTCTTTGCGTGCACATTTGGGCGCATTATGCAAATATTTCCACATAGTGAGGTAGATATGTGGGGGCGTGTTAGAACGAGCCATTTTAGGGGGGCGTGGCAGAGTCTTAACTTTGATAAAGAATATCTCTTTGGTTTTGAGACTTTAGTCTTTGCAACTTCAGGGATCTTATCTATGCACAATCAACTTGTAACACTCCAAAGAGAAAGGAAAACTTGAAATCGCATCATATGACCCCTTTAAATTTTTATTTTGTGTTTGATTGTTAAAACAAATAATATATGTTGTTTGTCTCAATAAATTGGGTTAATTTTAAAATACAGTGGTTAAATTTAAAAAAAAATTCTATTGCTCTTTGTTTTTAAAAAGGTTATAAAAAAATGTCAATAATCATCGATACCGAACGATATGAATCATTATATCCTTGATACATCTTTTAGCTATATCGCCCAGCCCTAGTAAGGCTTCTAGGATAACTACCTGAAGGTAGTTGAAGACCCCTTGTACCAAGCCTGAGAAGGACAGGTGCCATTATAATTTCTGCCCTTTACCCATCTTGAAACTAATTTCTAAGATTTTGGCCTGTGACTGCCATACAAATTCTTTAGGATTTCCTGATGTGGCAGCAGTGCCTGAAACAAATATAGATCATAAAGACCCATCCAAATTAGTTGATACAAACTACAACACATCCAGTTCATACGTATTAAAAGAAATATGTATTCTCTGTGACAGCTGTTTGTAATACAACCATTTACACAAATGCAGCTGTTAACACACAAATGAATGCATGACAGTTAAAATCTTCTCCCTTCAAGTTTAGAATGTTAAAACAGGTTTTGTGGTGATGGTTTAGTGAGTGAATAATGCAAATGTGAAACTCTACGTACAGTATACTATTCTAACTGTGTGCTTTAGGATTATGCAAATGAGTATGACAGGAGTAAAGAAGTGTGGGCAATGTGAGAAAAAAAAAACTACTGTGAGCGATTGATTCAATGATGTTGGGAAAAACATCCAATTAAGATCAATTTGACCTGACATAGGAATGAATGAAATGTTGAAAAACATTTTTATTAGATTTTTTTATTTTCATTTTTATTTAAAAAAATTATATTCATAAAGAGCTGAGACTACAGAATATTCCCAAGGCAAAAAACACTTACAGCGATAAGTGTTAAGTGATAAGACTAGCGATAGCAAGCTAGCTTTGAAAGCACATCAACTCCTTCCCTGCATAGTCACTTTGCAAAGCCATGCCTCCTCCAAAACACACATGAATGCACTCAGGCAGATGCTCAGTGAGTAGGGATGGGTATTGTTTACATTTTAGCAATATCGATACTGATACTGCTTATCGATACCGGTACTTATCAATGATGTTATCGATAATACTCTATAATTTGGTGATGCTGCATGTCATACCAAACCTCCCATGGCAGGTGTGTCGTCAGCTTGAGATCGGTTTATGAGATCAGCTTCTTCTTGCTGGAATGCGCTGATGGCGTATCATGTCTGCGCAAACAGGGTGTACAGAGGTATGCAAATGCATATTTTGACAGGCAGGCAGGAGAGCCTATCGTAATGTTCGGATCGAACGTTTTGATTGGACAAACATTTTATGGTCTTATGCCTTCCACAGACGATATAAATACATTTTGGGAAATGGGGGAAAGATACAGGTATGCAGACCACACACTGGTTTGTAGGGATAACAAGGAGTTCTGTCTTTGCATGCATGAAGCAGAATCATCTTCAGCTCAATTTTGCAGAGAGGTCTGAAAGGCAGACAGATATAGGAGCTGAGACATTGGGATCATCAGGTTGAAATGAAAGATAGAGCTGCATATATTATCTGCAGAGTAGTGGTAGGGAAGCCAAAAGCCTTGTGATCAATCCCAGTGATGTGAATGGAGAAAAGACAAGTGAGAACTGAACCTTGAAGCACACCAGTGGTTTTGCTGATGTGATTGACACCCCTCTTTTAAAACATGAAATATCTGCGTCTTGTTACTTATAGTGCCAAACGCTTCAGAATAAGGACAGATGATTTACAATTTGTTCTTTAGCCAACCAAAGAGTTTCAACAATGTCCACAGGGTAGATTAGTATTAATGGATGTTGTAGCAAGCTCCAAATGGGTGGATCTTGAGCTCCAAGTTGGCTGTGCAAACCTCCAGAGGCTTTTGATTGATTAATTTAATGTTTTGCACTTGTGGGGTGGGGTGTTGTATCTGCCTCATATTCCCAGTTAGTGGAGTTTTGTTTTGCTCTGCCAAAAATTGAGATTTTCACTTGAAAAAGTGTCATGCTGAATGATAAAATAGAGTAAGCTTGTTTTACATTTGCATTTTAAAAAGTGCAGGTTTTCCTAGTGAATTCTGTTTGAATTTTTTAAAGGTACATTTTCAAAATATGTTAGTATAAAATGATTATGCTTAACTGTAACTGAGCCTCGTCATTGTTTCAAAATCTACTCTTGTTTTCATTATGGTTATCCAATTTACTTTTGCGGATAATGTAATTACAAAACAGAAACACTTCAATGCAATAGTTCTAATGATCAGTAAAATTGTATGCCTTTTCATGTTTGTTGTTCTTTAGGTGTTGCATGTTGGGAAAAATAAAATTGCAGTGTGCAAAGAAAAATTCCAGGCGATGTAGTCCATTCTTCACTTGTTTGGAGTGCACATTGATTACAAAAGCTGCACATCTGGTATAAATAAACTGTAGGTTTTTGTGTCGGCATTTAAAATGAATAGTTCTCATTCCAGGATGACACACAAGTTTTTAATACTAGGGGAAGATCATCCAACATGTTCTCTCTGCCGAAAACACTTTATCCATGAAGCATGTTTTATTAGATTTTGCTGGTTTTGACTCTGCGAGTCTTTATTCAGTTAACTCGTTTGAAGAGATTCTTAACAGAGTTAAGCCAAATACAATTTTAGAATTTTTAGCAAAAATAAATGGTAAAAACATGAATATTCAGTCATAAAGTTTCTTGCCATGAAAATAGCCACAGAAGCTGGCATGGCGTTATACACAAACAAACCAAAGGAATAGTTCATCCAAAAATGAAAATTGTCTTGCCCTCATGCCATCCCAAATGTCTGTGTATTCTGCAGAATGCAAACAAAGATTTTTAGAAGAAAACGGTCACCATTTACTTTCAAGTAAACAACAGTTATAATTACCGTTCACTTGCATGGCTTGGGATATTCTTCTTCTTAAAATCTTTGTGTTCAACAGGAAAA